GCCGTCAGGACTCTATCCCAGCCAAGCCTGTGGACTTCTAAAACTCCAGTTTTTGAGCCCCACTGGTTGCAAAAACTCATGAAAATCAGCCCCTCTTGTTTACCCAGCCAATGGCTTTGGGGAGGTGTTCCCCTTGTGCATATCCCTGTGTGCTCCACTCTGTCTTGCCTGTTTCTGCAACCAGGGCTCCCTCCCCTCTGCAGCACCCATGATCCATTTCTCCCCTAAAGCCCATCTCCACACTTCCTACCTTCCTCAATATGGCCTCTTCTTTCCTTCTAGTTGTGCAGTTTGTCAGTCCGCAGGTCAATTTCTTGGGTATTCAGAATGATTTGATAGTTATCTAGCTATGTTTGAGGGACAAGGTAAGCCTAGGGTCTTCCCACTATGCCACCATCTTAGTTCCCCCCACACTTTATGATATAAAAATTTTACTACAGAGCTTCAGTAATCAATTCAGTTTGGTACTAGCATAAGGACAAACATACGTAGGATAGAATTGAAAATGGAACAGAATTAAGAACCCATAAATAAGCCCCTTTACAGTTAACTGGTTTTCAACAAAAGTGCCAAGAAAATCTGATGGGAAAGAAATATGCTTTTCAACAAATGGAACAATTGGATATTCATTCAAGAAAGGTGAATTTGGACCCTTATCTCATAACATACTAAAAAATTAACACAAAATGGATCAAAGACTTAACTGTAAGAACTAAAACTATAAAACCCTTAGAAGAAAACATGAGTAAATCTTCATAAACTTGGGTGAAGCAATGATTTCTTAGTTATCACCCCCAAAATATAAGCAATAAAATTTGGTAAATTGTACATCATCAAAATTAAAACCTTTTGCTCTTCAAAAGACACCATCAAGAAATTGAAAATACAACCCACAGACTATGAGAAATTATTTGCAAATTATTATATCTGACTTGTATTTAGAATATATAAAGAACTATTATAACTTAATAACTAAAAAGGTATGTAATATAATTTTAAAATGGGCAAAGGATTTGAATAGACATTTCTCCAAAGATCTACAAATGGCCAGAAAGCATATGAAAATATGTTCAATGTAATTAGTCTTTAGAAAAATGGAAATAAAAAACACAATATGTCATTATTTACCCACTAGCATATCTGTAATAAAAAAAGATAGATACTAACAAGTGTTGACAAGGATTTGGAGAAATTCAAACCCTCATGTATTACTGGTACAATGTAAAATGATGCAGCCATATTTTGGTAATCAATTTGACTGTTTCTTAAAAAGTTATATGTAGACTTACTTTATGACCTGCAATTTCTATCAGAGGTGAAGTTGTGTACATGTTTTCATATCTCTTGGTTCAAAAAAATCAAGTGATGCTGCTGTTATAAAATTCCTTCCACTTCTCTTTATTTAGTTTAGGTGAATAGAGTTTCTCAGCTTTCTCATCGATAAATGTTAAAATTGAGATAGAATTGGTGCTGAATCCTGCCTTATTCTGGAAATAGAACACCTATAATACATATAATACAAACAATACAAATACTGGTACACATATACAAAGTGTCCAGGTATACTTGACAGAAATGTTCATAGCAATGAACACTTACAGCATTTTGTAATAGTACATTAGAAGTGAGCAGACTGGCAGCAGGTGGAGTGGGGAATGCGGGGCAGTGAAAACTGAGAAGGTAGGAAAAGCAACATGGTAGATTGACAAAGGGCTCAGAAGAAAAAAGTTGTATGATTCTGCATTTGAAGTTGTTTTTGCTATTGTGATGTAAGAAGCCTAAGTTTCCTGAATCCTTCAGTGTAGTTTTCAAAAAATTCTTTGTGTTCTGTTTTTGTTTTGGTGAGAAATTTAGAAAAGAGGCTCAATACCCATTTTGTTTACATGGTCCAGAACAAGACAAATATATGAATAATGCTGAGAGAATCCATGAACTGAATTAGGGAAAGTAAAAGCCTAGACTCAGAGGTGTCCTTGAGACTGTAAAACCCTTGGGAATTTTTGGACATCTCGAAGACAGCATCAGATTTTCTACAAGAGGTAAAAATGGAGCTCAAAGAAAATATAAATGCCTCAGTCAGAGATCACCAAGAATACACCTGAAGTTTGAACTTCTGTTTAAACTCTGCTTGTCTTTTTATAGAAGAAACCTGTAAGTGGAATGTCAAGGAACCCCTTGATAAAACACCAAAGTGGTTACATCTTCAACATTATTAAAATGGTGGTTATATTTAATTATCCCATGTAGACTTATAAAGGTTTTTCAAGTTCCATGTAATTAGGGGTTATAAGAATAAAGACTCTTAAGAAGGTATCTTTAGGGCTGGCTGGCTGTGGTAACTAGTTAGACACTAGCCCCTTCCCCTCTTCAGTATGTCACTTATTAGGGAAGCTAAGAAGAAAAATGTGTGATGACTTGCTGGTAAAATCCACCGAACACTAGGAATTCATTATTGGATATCCTGATTGTGTTGGAGGGATTCCCATTGCAGAACAGCTAATACTTTTCTGGCAATATCCAGGCAATTTCAGTGGAAAGATCTAGGTCTAGAAATCCCTTCTTCAGCACTCTCAGTTCTTGGAGCTGGCCCATCCCAGCCTGACTGCCCAAATAAACTGATGTTATAGCAGATAACCAGGAACACAATACTCAACAAAACACAGATTTGAATGCATAAGTTCATATAGAGTTCATAAGCAAAGATGTTCATGAAATTAAAAAAGAAAGAAAAACAAAAGCCTGCTAATTTTGTAACACTTTATAAAAATATACCAACGGTTACATTTTCATAGTTAAAACTTTTCAAGCAATTCTTTCCAGAAATTCTTCATCATTCAATCATATTTATTTTCTGAACAGTTTATGTTTCTTAGTCTTTTTTTTTGGTCAGTTTGGATTTCTAATTGAAGCTGTTTCTTTAAAAATAAAGTCTCTCTTCCTACAGCAACACAAACTTTAAAAAACACTCGTCCACCTAATATAGCTGCAAAGACTTGGTGCCATATGAAGATGAGAAATCAAATAAATTTGAATTTATTTTTTTCTATAGGCTCAGTCTGTTTGGAACAATTGGTATTGTTATTACCAACAAAGAGGTTATTGGCTATTAAAAAATCACATTCAGGACAGAGGTGGAACTTGAAAATACTTGTTTCTTTTTAAAAGAATCAGTTCTGTCATCCAAAAAAATTCTTTAATTTACATATAGACAAGTTCCTATGGTGTCAGATCACAGCATAGCTAAGCATCACTGAACTGTATTTAGTCGCAAGCCTTGCTTGTAACAGTGGGGTGCTTCCTATGCACTACCGAAGTGATAGAAATCAAAATGCTAACAATACCCAGTTTTCAACAGCCCACAGAAACTACATATGTATTAAGCCTACTCTCAGAGTCTATAAATTACTCCATCAGGATATATTAACTAAGGACTTTGGAATTTAACTCTTTCAGATGAAAACAGTTTCCATTAAATTTTCTGAAAAGTCAAATTTGGGGTCATAGTAGTATCAATTTTTTGAAGCCCAACTGTGTGAAAGGTCCTTGACTAGTCATTTTACCTCCCTCATTTTATTTCAGCCCCCAATAAACCAATAAAGAGGCTATCGTCAGATGAAGAAATGGAAGCTCAGGAAGTTTAATATATTCCAAACAATACAGCAAACACCTAACAAAGCCAAGATTCCCAAAGATTGTTTTCAGAATCGCTATTTTGTCAAAATTAATGTTTTGTTGAATAACTATTACTGTATGCTCAGTATGAATAGTTTCCATATATTATCTTTGAATTCCCCCTCACTCCAAACCATACAGAATGAAGTTTGTTAACACTAAGTAACATGATCAAAATCTCACAAATGGTAAGTGGTAGAACTATAATTTAAACTGGAGTTTTTGGCTTTAAAACCTTTGCGTTTTTCTACTGTAACACAGTATCTTAAGGTTGGTTATCCAGTTCCCAAAAGGTAACATACTTTGGAAGAATCTGAAACATCCGAGGACAGAGAAAATTTTGCCAAGACTACAAATTTGCTGGTTTCTTTGATTTGGCTCTAAAAATAAATATATACTAGAATCATGGACTATCAAATGAATTTGTGTTTGAATCCTAGCAGTCTTACCTACTGCCTACATAAATTTGGGCAATTTCCTCTCAGTGCTTCAGTTCTCTCTTTTGTATAATTCAGGTAACAAGAGCTACTTCATAAGATGACACTGGGGATTAAATAAGATAACGTATGCAGTGCTCTGTACCTCACAAAAGGCAGCCGATTAGAGTGGTCAAGAGCACAGACCTTAAAACCAGCTGCCAAATTCTCAATCTGCCACTGATCGCCTTCGTGATCTTGGGCAAATTTACTTTACCTATCTGTGCCACCGTTTCCTCACGGTAAAACAAGGTCATGATAATAACTATTTCATGAATCAGTCCGTGTTAAAATGCTTAGGATAAAAATTGTTTCCATTAAATCAAATGTGCCTGGCACATTGTAAGTACTATTTAAGAGGTTGTTAAATTTCAAAAATACACTTTGAACATAGCAGATGCTGAATAAATGGTAGCTATTTTACTTTGCAATCACTTGGGTGATTTTAAAATGATATATGCGTATATATTTCTACTGGTATTTAAATGTTTTATCTTTGGAGAAAATTCCTCCACTGCCAATAAAATAACATGTAAGACCGAATCTGCAGCCCAGAATGGTTAGTCCTAGAGCTATCCTAATAGGTTCCCTGAAGTTTGGGAGCGGGGAGGGGAGGTGGAGAGAGAGGAGGATGTGAGGGTGTCTTTCAGATTTGGGGTTAAGCAACTGGACATGCCTCTAGATGCTATTTACTGAGATGGAGAGACACTGGAGGTGATTGTACATATGTACAAACTAACAATTGTTTAGTATCTCCCAGGTCCCGAGCATTATGCTGGGGCACTTTGTGTCCATTTTACCTCATTTTACTCTCAGAAACACCCTATGGGTATTACTCTCTCTGTTTCACAGATCTGTGAAGATCTCTGAAGAAGTGTGTTGCTCCAGAGAGGCAAGCGAGTTCAACTTATGAACTGTCAACTAAAAGTTTTTTGCATAAGGTGGTAAGAATTTTTTTTAGCCCCCGCTCCCTCCCCTACCCTTTTTTCTTTTTTAAAGAAGATTTTATTTACTTATTTGACAGAGAGAGACACAGCGAGATAGGGAACACAAGCAGGGGGAGTGGGGGAGGGAGAAGCAGACTTTCCCCGGATCAGGGACCCTGATGCAGGGAGCCTGATGCGGGGCTCGATCCAAGGACCCTGGGATCATGACCTGAGCCGATGGCAAGACACTTAACGACTGAGCCACCCAGACGCCCCGCCCCCTACTTTTGCCTAAGTCTTACTCCATCTGTTTTTAATGCTGTTAATATTTTTTTTTTAAGATTTTATTTATTTATTTGAGACAGAGAGACTGAGAGAGAGAGAGCACATGAGAGGGGGGAGGGTCAGAGGGAGAAGCAGACTCCCCGCCGAGCAGGGAGCCGGATGCGGGACTCGATCCAGGGACTCCAGGATCATGACCTGAGCCGAAGGCAGTCACAACCAACTGAGCCACCCAGGTGCCCCAAGAGCTGCATTCTTTTTTTTTTTTTTTAAAGATTTTATTTATTTATTTGACAGAGAGAGACACAGCGAGAGAGGGAACACAAGCAGGGGGAGTGGGAGAGGGAGAAGCAGGCTTCCCGCTGAGCAGGGAGCCTGATGCGGGGCTCGATCCCAGGACTCTGGGATCATGGCCTGAGCCGAAGGCAGATGCTTAACGACTGAGCCACCCAGGCGCCCAGCCCTCCCTCCCCTTCCCTTAAGTTCTGAATGTTTACATTGGTGTGTTAACATAGCCACCACCTTCAACCCAAAGTGACACTTTCCTATTCCCTGTAGTCCTTTAATACCTCCATGAACAAAGAACCTTTTGAGATGCCAGGCAGGCTCTGAAAGTTCAGTTATAACTTGGAAATCTGTAATAGATAGATTACTCTGCCCAGAAATGTCATGAGAGTTGTTGTCTGTCTCCAATACTTACATTAGGCACAGACATACTATCATAGAGCTAAAATTCAGTGTAACGATATTGCCCATTAACCTAGTAATGTTGTCTGTATCGATTTCACCACTGATAAAAGGTAATTGGTTCCAACTGGAAGCAAATCAAAGTATATACGTTTCTATTCCAATCTTCTGAATAATGCATGCCATCTGTATTACCTCAAACTTTGGGGAACAAAATGCTAAGCAGAACCTCAAATGGTTAAAAGAATGTCTTTTTAAGGGTGGTATTTCTGAACTCTCTAACAACAACAACAACAAAGTTCTGCATCATAGAATCCATGACGTTTTCAACCAAAACCATCACGAAAGCAAATTTCCCATGTTTTTCAAATTTACCATAATGCAAATATTGGATGGAACCATATTAAAATGTGGATACAAGTACTTTCACGTGGTTCCACCTAATAGATTACCAAGAGCATAGTTCATAAATCTCGAGGAACATTAACTACCATAGTTATTTTTAAAATTCCTGCATTCTTTAAAAGCCCTCTTTTTATTCTAATGGAAAGCCAAAACTGAAAACTCACTAAACTTCACTATTTATGGCTACTACTTACTTTTCATATTACAATATTCCTATAACCAAGCTATACTAATTACAGCAGATATATTTACAGTTGATATTTTTGCTCTTTGGTTTTCAGATCAACTCTTGTCATCGTGAGTATCAATGATAAAAATATTTTATGCTTGTATGATGCTACACAGTTGTCAGCGGGCTTGTGCAGATACTATGTTGTGCAATCCCTATGACCCTTCCTTTTAGGCTGGCATTTATTATCACTCCAACCTTCACACCAAACACGGGCAAATATGACCCATGTATTATGGAAGAAGAAACAGAGGTTCAGTGAGGTGACCTGTCCTGGAGGGGCTTGGCTAACCCCATATCTCCTGGGTCATAACCGAGTGCAATGGATTCACTGTATCTCTGTCAAACAACCTGTCCAGTAGTGAGCCCGTCATTGAACAAAACAGGCATTCCAATATCACACTCAGAAGGAAGCACTGCTGTTGGAGAGGGACATACCTCAGGATGTAGGATCCCTACTGGCTCTCTCCTCTCTGGCTCTTTCTGAGCTCCAGCCCCTCGCAGGCAGCCTCCACACTACGGGGAGGAGAAAGCTCCCGGCCTTGGCAGGTGGAAGCTGTAGGGGCCACAAGTGTGGGCCCTTCCCTCTACCAAGCTCAGCCATCACAGGGGTTGCTTGGCACCTGCAAAGGACCCCTCAGCCTGCTGCCTCTCAGCTGCTAACCCAAAGCCAGCAGAAGAAAGCAGAGCAGCACATGGAATAGGAAGATTTTTTAAAAAATGAGATCTTTGTGGGACTTCTGGGTGGCTCAGTTGGTTAAATGGCTTCCTCCGGCCTAGGTCGTGATCCCACAGTCCTGGGATGGAGTCCCAAGTTGGGCTCCCTGCTCAGCGGGGGGTCTGCTTCTCCCTCTGCCCCTCACTCCTGCTTGGGCACTCTCTCTCTGACAAATAAATCAATAATTTTTTTTTAAATGAGATATTGTTCATAGTGAATTTAAAAATTAGTATCTTACTCCATGGATCTTTTCGGTGATGTGAGGTTATCTTCCCAACTTCTGGCAATAATTGTCCTCTTTATTAAATTTCTGTTGGTGATAATGAATGTGGTGGAAACGCAGGATTGGCAAGACCAGGGCTTTGCGTTCTTTAATGTGCATACACATCCTCTGAATACTTTGAAAAATACAGATTCATCTTCAGTAGGTCTGGGGTGGGGCCTGAGAGTCTATATTTCTGGCAAGCCCCCACAGGATGCCAATGTTGCCAGCATCCACAGACCAAATTTTGAGTAGCATGGAACCAAATCACTTCAAATAGTCCTTCCATCCCCCAGGATCTATGAGAAGAGGAAAATCTAAAGATTATTAATGGTTTTATTTTTTCTCAAAGCAACAACCAAAATCTAGCTGATTTTATTTTTCCTTTATTAATTTTTCTGTGGAAGTATGTGAATGAAACAGAATTTGTTTTCCGAGTGTCTTGGGAATAAGTCAGGTGTTGGGTTGAATAGGCATTTCTCCCTCTCTTTGATCCCTGGTGCCACAGAGAAATGCCGAGCTGCTCCCTGTTGGTTCACCCCCTTCTCAGAATTTTCCTGTCTAGTCTTCTCTGCCTCTGCCTGATTTTTTCCCCTATAAAGATTTAGGGTTCTTATGGACCAGAGACAAATTATAGCAGGAATGTCGCAGTTGTTTTAGCTTGTGCAGTTGGTTGCATTCTTCTGAAATTAGCCTGAAATTAGATCACTGCTCAAGAGAGCCATAAAAATAATATCAGCACACAATATCTTACTCTAAATTATTTGGCTGCTTTGGGTCAGCCCAATCCAAATGCTACAGCCTTGTTTTTATTTTTAACTTTTAACTTCAATTATTTAATTTATTTTTAACTTTTAACTTTTTAACTTTTAACTTATTTTTAACTTTAACTCAGAAAAAGATGCAAGAATAGTGGTCTCATGTACCCGTCAGCCAGCTTTCCCCAAGGATAACATCTTACAAAACCATCATACAGTATTAAAAACAGGAAATCTACACCAGCACAGTACAGTTAACTACAAGACTTACTCGGATTTCACCAGTTTTTACACGTGCTCTTTTTTGGAGGGCAGGGGAGTATACAGGACCATGAAATTATATAGATTCAGGTAACCACCACCACAATCTGATTGTTAAAGTCTGGTGTCCCCCAGGATTCAGCCCTGAGCCCTATTCAGTTCTCATTCTTCACACTGGCCCCGAACCTTCTCAATCATAATTGTGACATTACTATCTTTTGCATTTGGATAATTCCCAAATTGATAACTCTAACCTCTCTCTTGAGCTCTGTTCCTAACCATTTCACGGCCATTTCTGGATACCCACTGAATATTTTATCTGCACTTCACACTTCAACATATTCAGAATTGAACCAGGATTCCTTCATTTTTAAACAAGTCTGTCTATGGGCGCGTGGCACCCCGTAGCCCCAGCCAGAATGCCCAGGGATCATCCTAGATGTATCCATCAGCCATATCTCACCTCCACGGAACAAAAAGAGCTGACACTCCTCTGGCAGGTACTGTGCACCACACACTCAGTGCAAATTAGCTCATTTCATCCTGAGAGCAATCCTAAGCATTGTCCGAAATGGCTCCAAGTTCCCTGAAGCCTAAAACGTATACAGTTTTAGGGTTCCTTTTGAAGAAAAAGAACAGAAAAAATACAAATGTCAGGAAATCCTGCAGTATGCTACAACATGGATGAACCTTGAAGAAAGACATTGTGCCAAGTGAACAAAGCCGGTCACAAAAGGACAAATACTGCATGATTCCACATATATGAGATACTTGAAATAGTTAAACTCCTAGACTCAGAGGCTAGAGTGGTGGTTACCAGGGGCTGGCAGCAGAGGGAGATGGGGAGTTGCTCATCAATGGATATAAAGTTTGAATTACACAAGATGAGTAAGTTCTAGAGATCTGCTTTGCAACATAGTGCCATAGTTAACAACACTGTATTGCACACTTACATTTTTTTGAATTTAGATCTCATGGTAAGTGTTCTTATCACAAGAAAATTAAGTAAAATAAAATAAAATTACAAATATCAAAATTAGTACTTACAAAAATAAATACCTGGACGGGCACAAGTGATGGGTCCTGAAAACTGACCTTCATTAGTTTCAGGACATATCCGCCCTCAAGGCAGGTGCTATTCTTACTTCTGTCTTACTATGAGACAACTGAGGCACGGAAAGTTTGCATACTTAACTTGACCAACGTCAAGTTCCAGAACAAACTATGCTTTCTACACACTCTGCTTTCTAGATCTATCTCAAATGCCACAACTGCCCTCAAGAGGAAACTCGTCCTCTCCCTCCACCAAAATGATCCCACTCCTCTCCCCACCATCAGCCCCACCGGCGCCACCACGACCACCCTTGCCTCGGATACCTCCCTTGAAGTCTCTGGACTTCCTCATTATTTTGA